TTTTACATTCTTAGCAGTCTTATTTATGTATTTATGTATAATCCACATTTTATAGAAATATAAATTTATTTTTATATAGTATATATTTATTTACAGTATATTTATAGTATATATATATATATAATATATAATTCACACATTGTACAATTCATCCATTTAAAGGGCAGAACGCAGTGGTTTTTAATACAATCACAAAGTTATGCAACCATCACTACAATCAATTTTAGAACATTTTCATCAACCTGAAAAGAAACTGCACCACTTTGCTGTCATCCTCCAGGCTCCCCAAACTCTCTCAGAACTCTAGCCAACCATTAGTCTAGTTTCTGTCCCCACAGGATTGCCTATTCTAGGAATTTCATGTAAGTAGAATGATACAATGCGTATTCCTTTGTGACAGGCTTCTCTTACTTAGCATGATATTTTCAGGTCCATCCTTGTTAATGCATGTATTAATATTTCATTTCTTTCATCACCAAATAGTGTTCCATTACATGTATATCCCACATTAAGTTCATCCATTCATTAGTTGACGGACATTTGGATTGCTTTCCCTCTATGGCTATTATGAAAAGGCTGCTATGAACATCATTTACAAGTTTTTATGTGGACGTAAGTTTCCATTTCTCTTAAACCAATGGTCTTTAAGGCAAAATTTTTAGCAAGTGTTCTTATTTTCCACATGATTAAGGAAACTGTTATTTAGTACTCAGAAATGTCTCATGTAGAATTCCAAACTTCTTAAATATTGGGTCACCACCCCCAACTCTGCTATTCCTTGGTAGGGAGGAGGAGGGTGCTGTCTGTCAGGAAAAAGTAGGAGCTGACCTGGGGCTCACGGATCACTGCGCAGGGCTGACTGAAATCCCTTTGCAGCACCTGGGGCCAGGTCTGGCCCACAACTGGCTCACAATAATCAGCCCCATCACAATGTTCCTTCGGGGAGACTCCATATGTAAAGTATCAGAATAAGAAAAATAAAACCTGACCTGGAAATCAGAGTCATGGGGTTTGGGAAACTTGCAGGGAAGAAGAGGAAAAAAAATAGCTTTCCTGATAGAAGCCAGTGAAGTTAGTTTTCTCCCTTGTGTGACTTGGAGGAGTTCTTTGGTGTGTCCTGCAGACCTGCAATGAAAAAGAAGGCCCTATATTAATTTATATAGCGACTCTTTTCCAAGAAATTCAGAGCATTTCAAACAGTCTTTCACTCATTCCCCTGAGGGAGTTTGCATAGTGTGCATAAGAAATTACTTCTTTTTAAAATTTACACTCTTCAGTTAGCCAGTACTGAGCAGAAATAGAACTAGAAAAGCAGACCTCCTGACCAGACATTCCGCTATAACATTTTCAGGGAACTTCTATAAATCAGAGCATATCCTTAAAAACAGGATCTCCTCATAATAGCCCCATGACCACTCACTGGTGACTGACATTCCTTTCAGCAAGAGCAAAAGTTTCCTTTCCAAATTAGAATCAACTGGTATGGCTTGCGCTATAAAACTGAAGTGTATTGTTACTCATAATTAAGTGCTCAGGATCACCCAGACCCCTCAGACAAACCAGGCAGTTTTGCTCTCCAGCTCCACCCTCCTAACTTACCCCAGCTGAGGACCCCTTACTAATCTTGAAACTGGCTCAGTGCGAAAGAGGAGTCCTGCTGGTAAATGCCAGGCAAAACCTGGAGACAAAATCAGTCCTGCCCTCACTGCCGTTTCTTGCTGTGTCTCAGTGCTGTTTTTCCGCAGGGCAGTGCTGGCCATCCTGGGTAGCATCCTCAGCTCCAGCTTCCCAAAGCCCACCAGCGTCAGCCACATGCAGGGCTAAACTCAGCCCTCAACCCCAAAGACTAGTTCCTCATGTAGGGCCTTTTCTCAAGATATTCTTATTGTGACATCCTCAGTATCCATCCCTGGGGAAAGAAAATCTTGGTCAGAGCCTCACTAGTAGCTCGTGCGGAATCTCAGGAAGTAACAACCTGGGAAGTCTCTGTGCTTTCTTTTCCCACTTCAAGAAAACCTCTGGGATCCATGAGTTCCCTCCTAGTGATTACCAGAGAATGGGAAGTTTTAATCCAGTTAGTGACAAAAAGTTCATATTAGTGTCTCATGCCTCAGGCATATTTTGTTTGGGCCCCCATAATCTTAACATGCACCTTATTTAAAATGTGTACCAGTTGTCAGCCGGGACTGGCTACGCAGTTTGTGAGGGAGCAGTGCAATGGAAAAATGCAGGCCCCTTGTTGAAATTTTAAGAATTACAAGCAGGGCATGTAAGCCAACATGGGGCACTTTTAAGTATGGGATCCTGTGTGACTGCATAGGTCACACACTCGGGAAGCCAGCCCTGCTGCTGATATTTAAGAAGCACAAAATTCTTAAACTAGAGAAATCTGGCAACCCCGGGTCTGCATCTGCAAATGGCAGTACGTAATGGGTTGGTGTGGAGTATTATCTTGTATTGGTTTGCTGTGCCTGCCATTACAAAATCCTGCAGATTGGGTGGCTTAAACACAGAAATTTATTTTCTCACAATTCGAGGGGCTCAAGTCTGAGATCAAGTTGTCAGCAGGGTTGGTTTCTTCTGAGGCCTCTTTCTTTGTAGATGGCCACTTTCTCCCTGAGTCTTCACATGGTCTTCCCTCTATATGTGTCTGTATCCTAACCACTTCTTATAAGGGCTCCACCAGTCATATTGGATTAGGGCCCACTTCATTATACCTTAAGTAGCCCCTTAAAGGCCCTGTTTCCAAATACAGTCACCTTCTGAGGTACCGGGGTGACTTTGGAGTGGCACAGTTCACCCTGTAACACAGCTGTTCCCTTTAGGGAGGGATGCAGTGCTCCAAGTAACTGTGCTCGCTCCAACTCAATGCATGCTCACACACACACACTGTGTCCTGTCCCTGAGGCAGGGCTCAGTTGCTATAGGTCATCTCATCTGTGCTGCTGTTCTTCCTCTGGTTCAATTATCTCATTTAGAGAGACCCGCTTCCCCCTGTCCTGCAGCACAGGGAAGAGTGACAGTGTTCACAACAGGACAAGGGCTACACACTCTCTCCACAGCTGAAAAGCTAAGGTTGCTGTTCAAGTGATCCAGGACAATAATCCATTTCTTAAAACACACACACACACACACACACACACACACACACACACACACGCAATATACCCATTGCATAGAGATAACCATTGAAATGCAATGCTGAAGGAAGAAACTGCCATGAGGCATAACTGACTGCTCACCTCAGAAACTAGACTTAGAGATTTTAGGAGACAAAAACCCTCAGCGACTACATAATTATTCCCCAGGGCTGATCCCACTTAAAAAAATCACCTGACTGTACAAGGGATGGCCTTAAATTTCAATGGAAACCCAACCATGTCGCCCATTAGAGATAACGTACTCTCAAATTGGCTTTTGTACCTATTTGTAGAAAATGTTAGCCAGATTATAGCTGAAAACTCTGCTAATTCTGGGGAAGATTTTGGTCTTGTGCCTGGAACTATTGAAGCATATATTCACACCTACTACATGTAACACTTAGTAGCAGAATTTCCAGCACAATACTTTAGTACTTTATTTTTAAAGGAAACAGAGCAGAGACTGAAGCCCTGCTCACTCTGCAGCTTTCTTGCGGGAGGCTCCACAAAAGGTGGTGGTGAGGGGGGTTCTGTGCTGAAAAGAGGTGTATTTTGATTTTTAAAAGGAAAGGAACACTAACATCTTTGCTCACAGTTAGGGCACTTGTGATGCTTAAACATAACATTTGCACCTGCATGTGGATTGAAAAAATCGTGTCAAATTTGCAAGGCTCTGAGAAAATAGGGTGCAGCGTATTGGTGATCTAATAAATCCCAATCAACATTAGAGTTTGGCAAAGAACTTACAGACATCTTACTGTAACTCCTTTGGTTTTTAGACAAGGAAGGGGAGGTTGGAAATTTTAACTGATTTGCCCCCGACCAGCACTCCACCTACAACGCAGGTCTTTTCTTTCAGGTCAGCTACCTCCCACCGCACCAGGCTACTTCTAAGCAGGCATTGTCTGTCTGCCTCGAATTGCACTCAAAAAAAGACAAAACGCCTCTCGTTCTCCACTAGAGTCTCTATTTTGATTCTAGAGTTGAGAAAGCAATGGGTATTTCAACTTCAACTCCCTTAGCAAACGGAAGAAAAGGCATCTGACCCGTAGACTCTTTCAGCTGGTCCCGGGGTCTCGCCGCCTGCGGGTCTCCACGGCAGCTCGCTGGCATCGGCGGCCAATCAGACACCAGGGGGCGCAGCAGCCTTTGTCCTGACAGGCATTGAAGACAAGCCTGACTGGGCCGTCAAGAAAAATCTGACTTCCCTCCTTTCAGTTTCTCTCATTGGAACCAGCCCACTCCCCACCCCTCTTCAACTCCTTAAAGCCGCCTTCTGTTTCCTCCTCATGCTCAGATTCTCAGGGTGCAGGGATGCACTGGTTCAGAGACCCCTCTCTGGGGAGGAGACCCTAGCACTGGCCTACCATTTGTTCTCACTTGCAGGCCTCTGAATTCAGGATGTTTTCAGCCATTCTTCCTGAGTGAAGGACACCATAGAATAGGAACAGCTTTGAGGAAGAACTGGTGCATCCATCCTCTAATATCCCTCCCCTTTCCACGCACAAAAACAATCACAAACAAATTAAATAACATGTTCTGGGAAGCTGACACGGCCAGGACCTATCCCTCACCACCCTGTGTCTGTCCCTACAGTCTAAGGACTGCCTTTGGTAGTGGCTACCTACCCAAAGGGACAGGCTTCAGTGCCTTCACTGCACCTCTGTCATTCTCACCAACCCACGGTGCATCCCAAGCAGGATACCTGCCTCCTTGTGACCTCACCAGCTTGGCTCTGTGTGCCCTCCAGCAGAAAGAAATCCACTTCACACTTGCCAAAGTCTCCTGATTCCAAAGATTCAGTAATAAATGAGCATCCTCTTCTACTTTAAGACACACTCCTCACCCTGCCCCTAGAGACACAAACTCACATAATGCAGACCCTCAGATGTCAAAAACGTACCATTTTGCAAAGACTCCCAGAACTCCTCTGTTCCATGCTGAAAGGCTACAGGGTCCTTCCTATGCAGGCCTTTGAAAAGCAGCTATATATTTACATAGAGAGATTCCAAGTTTACACAGTCCTTTCCCGGTCTGTCACTGGAGCCTCTCAACCCTGAGAGATACGCAGTGAAATCTAAAGCGTAGAGGCTTGCCTCAGGACCAGTCCTAGTACAACGTAGAAACAGCACTGGGGGCCTGGGTGACAGAGTATGGAAAGAGTTGCTTGTCCAGTTGTACCAAGGCCTAAAAGAAAAGCAGCCACCAAAGAAGATCATCAGATTACATGCACAGAAGGAGGCTGTGGTCTCAGGAGCCAGGCAGGGGCAGGAGGAACAGTGGAAAAGAAGGGGTGATATCAACTCTGACCTGACTCTTCTTTTTACCTGTGGCCTCAGTCACTGCTTTGTTTCCACGTGCATCTTAGCTAATGTAGAGTACTGGGAAGTGCTGAGCCTGGAGACAGGTAGCCATGGGTTGTTATCTTGATGGTGAACCTCCCAACTCCACAGTCATAAAATAATGATAACATCTATTAGACATATAGCACACCAGCACAGAAATGAAAAATGTAAGTGGAATTCCAGGAGACGGAGCAGTGTAGGAGACTTTTACTTTCGTTTTATGCTGTTTTGTATTATTTGAAGTATCTTGATTACACATGTATTCCTCTTATAATTTTATTTTTAAAATTTTACTGGGGCTAATGACACTCTTTAGCGTTGCTGCAAAGATGACTTATGTAACATATTTGGATGGTGCGTGGTCTGGCACACAGTTGATGCTCACTAAACAGTAGTTTATTGTTAGCAATATACCTCCCTCAGAACTGCAGGCAAACGGGACCTCAAATTAAGAGGCCCAGGGTCTGCTGCACACTCTGCTCTCGGATCCATGCATGCCCTTTAGTAAGTCAAGTCCCTTGGACTCTCTATGTCAACATAGTAGCTGCTCTTCAAAGGCCTGCATAGGAAGGACCCTGTGCCTCAGTTTTTGTTTGTTTGTTTGGTTGGTTGGTTGGTTTTTTACCTATAAAGCAATGAG